GGATCTGCCTGGACCGGGGCACGAACCCGTGTCCCCTGCATCGGCAGGCGGACTCTCCTCCACTGCGCCACCAGGGAAGCCCCTCGAGTTGATTCTTAACAGTAAGTAGTTTCATGTTTGTTTAAGTCCATTTTTTTAAGAGTAGTTTTGGGTTTAAAACAAAATTAGGGGCAAGTACAGAAAGTTCCCATATACCCCCTCCCCTCATACATACATGGCCTCCGCATTATCAACGTTACTCACCAGAATGGTACATTTTTCACCAAAGATGAACCTAAACTGGCACATCATAATCACCCAATGTCCACAGTGTATCTTAGGGTTTACGCTTGGTGTTGTGCAGTCTATGGATTTGAAAAGTATAATGACATATATCCACCACTACAATATCCTACGAAGTACTTTCACTGTCCCCCAAATCCTCTGTGCTCTGCTTACTCATGTTTGTTTTTAATAATTTCCAAGCTGTTACTTCAGACAAAAAAAATAACACATCCTTGTACATATACATACAATGGAATTTTATTCAGCCATAAAAAAAAAAGAGAAATTTTGCTATTTGCAACAACATGGATGGATCTATTGGGTATTACGCCAAGTCAGACAGAGAAAGATAAATACCATATGATTTTACTTAATGTGGAATCAAAACAAACAAACAAGCAAACAAAACAAAAACAGACTCATAGACACAGCACAAACAGGTGGTTTTGCCAGAGGGGAGGAAGGTGTGAGTGGGGGAAAAAAGGTGAAGGAGAGATTAAGAGGTACAAACCTCCAGTTATGAAATAAATAAGCCATGACAATGATATAATATACAGCATAAGGAACATGGTCAATAATATTGCAATAACTTTGTATGGGGCAGATGGTTACTAGTCTTATTGTGGTGATCATTTCATAATGCACGCAAATGTCAAATCACTATGTAATATACGTGAAAATAATATATTGTATGTCAATTATACTTCAGTTAAAAAAAAAATCACATCCTTGGAAGCAAACCCATTACTTTGATATCCATAGAGCTTAGCATAGGGCTTGGCATAAACTAACACCAAATAAATGTTTTCTGAATTCACAGCTCATTTTTAACAATGCATAAAACTTTACTAAGATTAACCATTTGTTTTCTCCACCTTTGTAAAATGAACTATTGAGCATGCTCACAGCAGTCTCAAAACAAAGGGATCAGTTCCACGATTTCATGCTCACCTCCACTGGTTCCCTCTCCAGCTCCCGATCACACTATTCGCCACTAATTGACTCCTAATCATCCCTGTCCCAACAGCAACTTGACAAAGCTTCTTCACTCTCAAATCCCCAATACCTCTCTCCACTCCCTCACTCAGGGCGGTGCCTTACCCTGTTCTTCTGAGAAAAGTGAAACCCACGACTTCCTTCTTCACTTCAACGTTCTGGTTCACCCTGCTCCTCTCTGGTCTCCAAGGTTATAATCTTCCTCCTTTCAGCTGTGTACGCTGCACATTCCACTCCAGTAGCACCAGTCTGTCTCTTCGCTTTTTTCCCCACCCTCTGCCCTCTATGTGCCTTGGGCTTTTCTCCACTCACTTCCACTCCTGGCCTCTCCTTGCCAGAAACAACTTCTTCCATTCATTTCCATATTCAAACTACAGTTGTCCCTCAGCATCAGAGGGGGATCGGTTCCAGGACCCCTAAGAATACCAGAACTCTTGAGCGCTCAAGTCCTTTAGAGTGGGCCTGTGGGACCTGAGGCTGCGTGCAGAGTGAGGACTGTACACCAAACCTTCAAATTACTCGCAGAAGCACAGACCAATCCAATTTGTATTCGTTCTTTCTCCTCTCACACCCAAAGCATGTAATGTGTGTAATATTTACAACCCATCTAACTGCCTCCTGCCGTGCGAATATGTATTATACTACAAGTCTTTTAATCTGTGTTCTTTTCCCCCAAAGTATATTTATAGGGTATTTTAGAGCAAGAACTGTCTTTAACCTCACTGTACAAGAGTCTCCTGTTCATAGTGTACATTCAAATATTTTTTGATAATGGAGTGGTAATAAGTTTGCTCAAAAATTAACTTTTCTATGACCCCCACAATATTCGTTACTATACTAAACATAGTGAAACTTTCACATGCATTTATTTGATGTATGTATTTTTCTTACCCTTTATTCACATAAGCCTTATCTAATTTAAAGCAAAGTCTTCTCTTCCAGTAGGATTTTGCCCATTTAACTTACTTTGTAATGGTAATAAGCAGTCACCCCAAAGTGGTTTTTCTGGGGAGGATGACAGTTTAAAATAGGGTTGAAAGTTCCACAGATAGGATTTGGAGAATCCTTTAATACAAAAATTTGAAGTCACCTGCAAAAATGTGTACACATGCTATATTGTTCAGGGGAGCAAATCCATACTTTCATCAGTTCTCCTTAGGACTTCAAGATTAAGGATCACCAGTTTCCTCAAAAAGTTAAATATGGAATTACCACATAGCCCAACAATTCCACTCTTAGATATATGCCCAAGAGAAGCTGAATACATATGTTCCTACAGAAACTTGTAAACAGATGTCCATAGCAGCATTCTTCATAGCAGCCCCAAAGTGGAAACCCAATGCCCACTGATGAATGGATATGCAAAATATGGCATATCCATACTACAGAATATTATTCAGCCACAGAAAGTAATGAAGTACTGGTACATGTTACAGCATAGAAGAACCTTGAAAACATGATGCTGTGTGAAAGAAGCCAGACACAAAAAGCCACATATTGTATGATTCCATTCACATGAAATGCCCAGAACAGGCAAATTCATAGAGACAGAGTAGATTAGTGATTGCCAGGGGATGGAGAGAGGATGAATGGGGAGTGACTGCTAATGGGAACTAGGTTTCTTTTTGATGTGATGAAAATGCTCTGGAATTATAGTAGTGATGGCTGCACAACTTTGTGAACATACTAAAAAACATTTTAAAAGGGTGAATTTATGGTATTTGAATAAAGAATAAAAACCTCCTCTTCCCCGGCTACATGCTTAACATCTTCTTTTGCATCATCCTCTCAAACCTAAATGTTATGCATTCACATTAAAACTCAACAGTGCTCCCAACCACCTCCTTCTTCTTCAGGTTCCTAATTTACATGTAGTTTTCTCAGGCTGAAAAATTTCAGAGATATTTCCAATTTCTTTTCTCTCAGTTTCAACATCAGTCAGTCACCAATGCCAGCACTTTTTATTAACAATAAAGATAGTTGCCATTATTAAATATGTAATTTCTGCCAGACATTTATGCTAGATGATCTACAAGTATCTTTAATTTTCACAATAGTTATGCACGTTAGAGAGAAGGATGCTGTAGCTAAGGGGGTTTAAGTACCTTGTCCTTCAGTCTTTCTCCCTCCAAGCTATCCTCCACCCTTCAGCCGCAGTGATCTTCCTAAAACCAAATCTTATTGTGTTACTCCCCCATTACTCCCCCACCTAAAGCTCCTCAAAGACTCCTTAACTTGGTATAAGGTGCCCTTCAGGATCCCTGTCTCTTACATTCCTTACACCAACTTCTTTCAGTTCCTGGACTATGCCATGCTCTTTCTCCTCCTGCCTCTGGACTTGGTACGGGGTTCTCTTACTCATTCACTCAACAAATATGTATTAAGTGCCCCCTAGGAGCCTGACATTGTATTTGCTGCTTGGGCAAACGCTGTGAATGACACAGATATATGTTCTTCCCTCAAGGTACTTAAGGTCTAAGGGAAGAAACGATAATAAACAAGTAATTACAGATTGTGATAAGTGAAATGAAGGAAGCAGGATGCCGTATTATATAAAACATCTAGGGTAAGGGTCAGGGGAAAACTACGATGACTGTTTTAGATAGGTTAATCTGGTAAGGTCTCAGGTGGTGACATACCTTAAAATCTGAAGACTAAGAAGTCAGTTATATGAAAAGCAGGTAAGAGCAGAGGGGGTGATGAGTGACAAGAGATGCTCCTGGAGACATCAGCAGAACCCAGACCAAGGATTTTTGTAGGCTGTGGTTAGGAGTTTGGATTTTAACCTAAGTTCTTAGTGCAATGGATTTCACTGAAGAATTTTGAGTAAGAGAGTGTCACTTTTTGCCACTGAATGGAGAAGGGATTGGAGGGGCACAAGAAAGGAAACGGGGACACATGGCCCGAAGATACAGTAGTGGTTTAGGTGAGAAATGTGGATGATGTGGACAAAGGTGTGATAGAGAAGGAGGAAAAAAGTAGACAGATTAGATGCAGAGTTGACCTGACGAGCAAAGTCATCAGCTGGAAGTGAGGAAGAGATGAAGAGAGGATATAAAGAGTTTGGGGAATTGCCATTGGGGAAAGAAAGTAAGGTTACTATAGAAACAGAGGATCAGAAGGATCTCAGGCCCATACTGAGTGAATACTCAAGAGGTTGACCATTTTCATTTTATAATGTCATCAATTTGCCCAGGACTTTTTCAGTGTGCACTAATAGTATTCACGTTACCAGGCATTAGTCATTCTTTTTCCTTTCCAGGCCCCTCTACTCAACCGGGAAAAGGCATTGTTATATACAATCAAAAGTCTCTGGATCCCATGGCAGTACCCAGAACAGTGCCAGGCACGGAGCAATCATTCAATAAATGCTAACAGGGATCTCAGGCTCACCGGCCTTCAAACTTCATCCGTTCTCTAAAGCAGGATTCCACTGAAATCATACTCCTGTTCACAAAAGTCCCAGATATCTCCACTTATCTCAAGGGTGGTTCAATCTACTGTAACAGTCACAACACCCTCATGTGTGAAACAGCACTGGCAGGATGGGGGGATACTGGACCTATACGATGATCAAAAATCTGGGTGCTACAATTTGAAAAAAGACACGTTCAGTAGAAAGCAAATAGTTTTCCTCATAGCTTACTGCAGGGCCGAAGGGACAAACGGCCACATGAGAGGTGCCAAGAGTCAGCTGGCACAGCGTTGTACTCACGGTCTGAGTTCTGCCTGGCACCTACCTTCTTCCTCTCCAGATTCAGAGTCCTCATTAGTGAACGCCCCGGAGTCTGCTGCCATGGAGATCACTACACGGGCTCCACCCGAAACCAAAAGTGAAGTGGAGCGGGAGCCGGGTCAGAAAGAGGCCAAAACCCGGGGTCCGAAGCCGCAGCACAGGCAAGAGTCGCAGCGGCTGCTACCGGGCTCTTCCGGAAGCGGCACGCGCGTGAAAGTCATGTGACGGGCACTGGGAGGGGCCACGCGGTTTATTTTGATTCTTGAGTGGTGGAAATGTAAGCACGTGGTCGCGGTTGTGGTGCTTTTTACTTTCCCCAGACCGTAATCGTCTTCCGGTGTAGACTTTTCTTGGCTTCTTTTCTGGTTTTCCTCAATTCCTTCCTTTTCGCCTTGGCGCTTTCTTCCTCCCAACAGTATTGGAGTTTTAGGGAATGGTTTGCTTTTTGTGGGGCTCGGAGCAGTGGAAAGTGGCTCGGCGTTTGCTTACTCTGCAGTCGCTTGGATATCAGGAGAGCTCACGCTTCTCTTCCCCTTCTGTTCCCGACTCTTGCCCTTCTGGCAGCAAAATGATCCACCTGGCTTTCGTGGCTACCGGGCAATGTGAACCTCAGGCGCATGTTCTTTAATTGAGTTGCCTGTGACTCATTTCCCGACCAAAACAAGCCAAATCGCTTGACTTAGGTTTTCAAGGACACTAACCGACAGCTGTCAGGCTTTTGGATTTGTATATCAAAATAACCGGTTGCTTGGTCAAGAGATCGACAACCTCCACTCTTCTCTTTACTCTTTGTGTAGTCAAAATCATAATAACTGGAGATGAATCTAGGTCATTTGGGGGCAAAAATCTTTCAGTTTTAATCGAAATATCTTTATTGCTCTTCTGTTAATAACAGGCAAAATAGTAGAAAGAGATCTATATCGTATATATACATGAATGAAATTGACTCGTTTTAAATTTCCTCATTGGGTATGTAAAGCACACAAAAAATGGCTGATTTAACAGGGCTGTACTTACTGTACATAAAAAACAAATGATTTTCATGCGGCAATCCTCTGGGTTCCCTACTACGCCTAAATCTTATCCTATCTCCCTCTCTAATTTATGAAGTTATAAACCCAACAGAAATGAAAATTAACCCAATATAGAAGCAAGCAATATATGGCTTAAGTGACTGGAGATCTCCGAGTTGTTTATTAGGCACAGGACGTGAACATGTACACTTCCCCCAGCAATCCCGGGTTCCTAGCCCAGCCTCCTGTACTACAGCCCCTCCGGGAGTTTCCTTTTCCTGGGGCTCAGCGGCGCTCCTCCCTGCCTTCCCAATTCCTCCCGATCCCCGCTCTGGGACACCGGCTCCACTCCCTCTTTCGCCGAGGTTTTCTCTCCACCGCCCGGCGAGAGGCTAGCCCGGCTCCGCACCCCAGCCCCCTCCTCGCCCATCGCACCTGCCCCGCCTCCCGGACCGGGGCCGGCTCGCGCGGCGCAGGCGCAGCAACGCGGCCGCGAGGCCGAGGGCGACCAAAGCAACCTCGGGTTCCACCTTCTCTGACAGTATCCGCGCTGGGCAGCGACCCCGCGGGCCGCGCGTCGTAATGGGCTCGGGCTGGAGCAGCGAGGAGGAGCGGCAACCGCTGCTGGGACCCGGGCTCGGGCCTGCGCCGGGGGCTGCTTGGAGAAGCAGGGGGGAGGCGGCGGCGGCGGCGGCGGCGCTGCCCGCGGCAGCCCCGAGTCCCGGGAGGGTGTACGGGCGCCGCTGGCTCGTGCTGCTGCTCTTTTCGCTGCTGGGGTTCGTGCAGGGCCTGGTCTGGAACACCTGGGGCCCCATCCAGAACTCGGCGCGCCAGGCCTACGGCTTCTCTAGCTGGGACATCGCGCTCCTCGTGCTCTGGGGGCCCATCGGCTTCATGCCCTGCTTCGCGTTCATGTGGCTCCTGGACAAGAGAGGTGAGGGGGTACCGGGAGCGCCGGCCGTTGATGTCACCCCTAGGGAGCCGCCTCCCTCGGCTTCGTTTTAGGGGTTGTGTGAGGTGACCGAATGTTGCTGGCATCCCATTCCTGACTAGGAACACTCTGTCCCCAAAGCGACAAATGAGGGAAGGCTTCTTTGTAGATACAGTGTTTTCATCAAGGCCAGTTATGCAACAGCAGGGATTAAGCGAGCTCTAAATGTTCAAGTTTTTGCATATTTGGACATCAGAGCATCCCCATGCACGTGCTATGTGTGTTTTTTACACCTGACAAAAATGACTGATGCTTTGACTTCAAAGGGATTTGGGGATTTTGAGGGTGAAAGGTCAGAAAATAGACTGATGATGCTCAGATACAGGGAAGTAATGAGCTGGCTTTGCATAATAGATGACTCAAGCCCAGGAAGAGCTGTTGGGGAACTCGGATCTGACGCTTTGGTTTCTGGCAAATGGTTCTGGAAAATGGTGCACAGCAGCTTTAAAGTGTGTGTATGTGACTAGGTGCAAGTGTCAGTTGAGATTTTTAACTCTCAGATGAAGCTTGCAGATGAATGAAGACTCTCTTTTCATAGAGAATACTTTGGACAGACATCTCACGTTACCACTTGCCAGTATGATTCTGTGAGGAGAAGAAAAGGTCATGGGATTGAATGATTAGGCATTGAATTACACCACACAAGTATGGGTAAATGATTCATGATCAATGTGATGTAGCTGCTAAAAAGTGCAGGACAGTTTTAGGCACAGAAGTGTAGTATCTAAAACAAGAGAAATAGTTTGAAATGCTCTATTCTAGTGTTCAGTTCTGAGCGTTAATTTTTAGAAGGCCATGGGCAAACTGGAGAGCTTTAAAAGTTGTGTGACAAGAATGTAAAGGATGTAAAAATCCATAATGTGTCAGATGAAGGAAATTGGGTGTGCCAAGCTTCAAAAAGAAACTTGAGGCAGAATATAAATATGTGAAGACCAAGTAAATGAGGAATTAGGCTTAATGTGCATAGTTCTAGAAGGAAGAACTAAACTGAGTGAAGTCACAAAGGGCTGTAACTCAAAGGGATACAGGGAAGAACCTTCTAACAATGAAAGTGTCCAGCCCTGGAAGGTGTGGAACTTCCAGGTAGAGCAAGTACTTAGGCAGAGATATGTGCTAGATGCTGAGGAAGGGTTTCTTGTACTGAATGGAGGTTTTCTTTGTTTGGATTTGTTTGTTTTTAAACTAAATTTAGACTTTATTTGGATTTCACCAGTTTTTCCACTAGTGTCTTTTTTTTTTCCTGTTCCAAGATTCAGTCGAGGGTCCCAAATTGCATTTAGTTGTTATTTCTTGTTAATCTCCTTCAATCTGTGACAGTTCCTCTGTCATTCCTTACAAGGTTGGATAACTTAAGGGGAAATGCTATTTTATTGTTTCTTTTTATTAACTTTTTATCAGGAGCATTTTTCAATATTATTCCCTAAATTTAGCCAGCCTTGTTTTTATGGTACAAAAATGTTAATTTTGTCCTTTTTATTATAATTATATCTACTATCCATGGCCAGATAAATTAGGGACTATGTATTCTCTTTATAAAATAAGTTACTTTAGGAGTTCTTTCAGAGTTTCTGTGACTATATGGTGAATTCTATTTTATGTTTTCTGTTGGTTAGAGCAACAAAAAATAAATTTAAAATTCTCTCACTTAGGAAGTGGTTTCCTTTTCAGTAGGAGAAAGCCAGTTTCCTTCCATATGTTGGCTGTCCTGCTGCCTATGTCCTCTTTGCATACATAAAAGTAAGTTCCTGGTATCCCTGGGTACTAAAGTATCTTTCTCCCTAGAGGATAGGTCTGGTCTTCCTACTGCCATGGATCCACCCAACTTAGTAGAAGACCAGGTATCTTTCTGAAATCGGTTTTGTACCCTCTCAGTCCTTTTCATTTTCCAGCAAGGAGATAAAAGGGGACTACCTAGTGAGATAATAGGAGACCAAAAGTGAGTGTGCCCTAGAAGCTTAGTGAAGAAAATTTCAACAAGGAGATAACACCTAAATTTGTGCCAAGCTCTAGGGAGATAGTCCTCATGGAGCCTACATTCTAGTGAGGAGATCCAGGCAAAAACAACAATAAAATTAAATATTTAGTGTGTCAGATGGTGATAAATGTTTTAGAGAAAAATGAAACAAGGCAAGAGAGAAAGGGGATGTGATTGGGTGATACTCTCTTCTAGACTGTCAGGGAAGGACTTACTGATAATGTGTGTTTGAGCAGAGACCTGAGGGGAAAAGGAAACCTACCTTGTCAATTCTGGACAGGGCTGTTTTGGACAAAGACAAAGGTCTTAAACTTGTTTGGCATATTCGAGAAAGAGCAATGAGGCTTCTGTGGCTGAGTTGAGCCATAAGGGAAACCACAGTAGAAGGTGAGGCCAGAGAGGTGGTGAGAGGCTGAAATCATGCAGGGCCTCTGGCCTGAAGGAGTGAGGAGGGCTCACTCCACTGGAAGGTCTGAGCAGAAGAATAAAATGACGACTCTGCTATTGTCTTGAGAACAAGAGCCAGAGCAGGGAGACCGGTTGGGAGGCTGTTGGAACAGCTGAGATGGGGCTGATGCTGACTTCCAACTGGGGTGATAGTAGTGAAGGATTTGAGTATTGTTGATGGATAGGCAGAGGTGGAGTGTGAGAAAAGGGGAAGATTTAAGATGTTTCTCAACTTCTTTAGCATTAGTAATTGGGAGAACCAAGCTGCAGTTTACTGAGATGTAGAAGATTGTGGAAGGAGCATTTGGGGGTAGACGGCATGCAGATCAGGAATCTGAAATTCCTGTTAGATATACGACAAGCTAAACTGTCAGTTTATTCCCTGAGCAATAGATTTGGGATTTGTCAACCTATAATGGTATTTAGAGTCTTGGAGCTGAGTGACATCACCTGTGGAGAGGGATCTTGCTTCAGAAGACTGAGCCCAGGGGCATTGCAGCATTCAGAGCTTGGGAAGATAAGGACGAACCAGCTAGTGAGGACTGAGAGTAGAGCCGGGTTTAGCACCATGGAAATCTTTGGTATCCTTTAAAAGAATAGTCTCACTGGAGTGGTGGGGGTGAGTTCATGAGTGTAGACATTATGTCAAACACACTTTAAGGGGCAGCAGAGAAATGAGGGAGTAGCCAGGGGGAATGTGGCTACTGAGAAAGTAT